TGCCCTGACTTAGATCAGCCCAGAGGTTGTTTCAGGGTTCGATCTGTGAGTTAGCCATGCCCTGACTTAGATCAGCCCAGAGGGTGTTTCTGGGTATCGATAAAATTTGAAGGTCTCACAAAGTTTGAATAGGTTATCCAACGCGCTATAATCTAAGGAAGATAATCTAGGATGTTATGAACATTTTCTTCCGCTATACTCCATTTTTTTCGCCTAGTCTTTTTTTTTCCCTATTAAAAAAGAGATAATCTTCAAGAATCAAACTTTTTCTTTGAAAACCAGCACACGAACTCGTAAAAAACCAATATACGTATTAGAAGGTAACTCTCAAACCCATGAAATCACCAATATCCAGCATTTTTCTGGTGTAGATAACTTATTCAATACATGCTCTTTAAAAGCGCGCCTTTTCCCCGCAGGCGCATTGACTCTAGTGTTCGAGTATTTTGTTGTATTTGTATACATTAAACTATGATTTGATAGATTTAGTTTATGTGAATCTTTTATTAACAATCAAGCGAGTTTCTTTCAGTTCGAGTTAATGTCTCCCTTCCTTTGTGAAATATTAGCTCCTCTCCTCTCCTCTCCTCTCCTCTCCTATGTCTTATCTTGTCTTCCTTTCCTTTTCAGGTTCCTTCAATTTCCTTTCGATTTTTTCCCCATTATTTCCTTTCCCTTCGTTCACTTTCTATCCCTTCTCTTCTCTTTCCTTCCCAGCTCTTCTCTTTTCTCCTTTCTTCTTTTGTCCTCTTTCATGATTACTTTTATTTCCTTTCAACTTTTCTTCCTATTTTTTCTTCTATTTATTTCAAATTTCCAATTATTCTCGCCGTAATTCCTTGATTTCTTTTCTTTTTTTCTTTTTCGTTAATTTAAGTTTTCATCGTCAATACAAATCATGTCACTTATGGAAATGAATGATATAGTGCAGTTTTCGTATGACTGTGAAAAGTTCACGGCACGAACACGGTCGTGACACAAAAAGGGATACGCCAGACAAATCACATTGCACGAGAATTTACTCTCCATCCAGTCAAATACCAGGATCACGGCATAAACACGGCGCGGACACGGTCACGCCAAGATCACGGCACTTTTAGACCAATCACATTGCGCGTGAAAAAAATCATCCAATTAAAATTCTAGAAAGTATCACGGTCACGGCACATCACGCTTACGGCACTGAGCTTTTCACAGTCATACGAAAACTGCACTAACAAGCTTAGTTTAATATATGGTTTTTGCTCAACCTTCGTTCCCTCCTTCGAACCAGTATATCTCACCAAACTTTACACATTGATACCCAGCCATATTTCTTTAAATGAACATGTATGTCAGTGGAACTAGCTGTCCGTTTGAATGGGTAGTTTTTAGGTAATTATTCATTCATCTTAACTTTGTTTAAATCCTTGTTTTTTTTTCCAGATTATCAAATATCTTGAAGAGCAGCAATTTGTCTTAATTATATAACATTGAAGAAAAGTAGATGTGTCGAGAAGTAGATGTGTCGTTGGACACTGCGTAATTCATATGACTCCAAAAGCTACCACGCATGCGCAAGACCCATTAGAAAGACAACAAGAATGTCGAGAAGTTGGAAGACTTTTACGTTCAATAGGAGACGACTTGCAGAGGAATTCCGCTTATCAAGAACGCCCTCCTCAAAACAATTATTTCTTGTCAATTTTGCTCGTAATATTTGAACTAATATCAAGACTCTACGAGGTAAATTAAAATGACCCGCGAGTATAAAACAAACAAAAACTAGGCTACGTACAATATCGAGGCTTTAGTGCGATGGTACTTCATGTATGTACAAAAATATGGTTATCAAATAGATTTACCTTCATGAACGTAACGCTTTGTCACACATGACATTTTTACCCGTTAATTGTCAATATCTTAGTACCATAGTACTCATGTATGTACAAAAATATGGATATCAAATATATTTACCCTCATGAACGCAACGTTGTGTAATACATGACGTTTCTGCCCGTTTGCAATGTTTCAAACAAAAAATCGGTAGAAAAGCTTTCCAGATAACCACTTTAATCCAACATAATCTTAACAATTTACTTCTAAATCTTGGTAAAAATATTTTTTGTCGATCATTCAAAAGACCAAAACTATTGTATAGTAATAAATGTAAATAGAAATGTTCGTTAAATAAAAATCGTAGAAAATGAGGCACTAAAATCTTCGAGAGGGATGTGACAGGGATACGATGGGAAAAGGAAGAAAAAAAGACAATGTAACGGAAAGGAAAGGAAAGGAAAGGAAAGCAAAAGAAGGAAAGGAAAGGAAAAGAAAGGAAAGGAAAAGAAATGAAAAAAAAAAAGAAATAAAGAAAAAAAAGTTAATCGATCAACTAATTTCTATAAAGAAATACTTTAGTTGTTTTTAACATGTGAATTCTAC